ATTCTTTACATTTTCTTCTGCCTTGTGCTCCAGCCTGCGGCTTATGCTTGGCTCTGTATCTTTTTTTTTTTCATTTCATTAAAGTTTGTAATTCCCAAGAATGATCAGTGGGACAGGCAAGCCAAGATTTTTTTTAAAGATTTCTTCTAATGTGCAACGGATGGGACAAGTATACTATTTGAAGTGGGGATAATTACAATTTCTTAGCCGTTCTGAAAAGGGCTGCATCAAAATTGAAGCCCATCTCTGGGCAAAGCTCAAAACACGTTCAGGATAGTTGAATGGACTCCAGTAGCCATATAAATCCCATTTTCACCCTTTAAAACCACCAAAACCCACCATACATTTTGCCTTCCCCATAGACTACAATGCATTTCTACCAAATTGGCCAAATTTGATGACATTTCATGATTGTTTACTGAAATGATAGAGATATAAACATTCTCAATTTCACTTATCCCTAGTGACAATCTAGGTCACATACTGCATTAATTGTGCCATCAATTCTGACCAACGTTCCTGTGCCTTTGTAGCTCACACATCCCCAAAACATCAGCGATCCACCTCCGTGTGTCACAGTAGGAATGGTGTACTTTTCATCATAGGCCTTGTTGACTCCTCTCCAAATGTAGCGTTTATTGTTTTGGCAGAAAAGCTTAATTTTGGTCTCATCACTCCAAATGACTTTGTGCCAGAAGGTTTGAGGCTTGTCTCTGTGCTGTTTGGCGTATTGTAAGCAGGATACTTTGTGGCATTTGCGTAGTAATGGCTACCTTCTGGCGACTCGACCATGCAGGCCATCTTTCTTCAAGTGCCTTCATATTGTGCATCTTGCAACAGCCTCACCACATGTTTTCAGAGTGTCCTGTATTCCTGACACCTGAAGTTATTTGTGGCTTTTTCTTTGCATCCCGAACAATTTTCCTGGCAGTTGTGGCTGACAGTTTAGTTGGTCTACCTGACCGTGGTTTGGTTTCAACAGAACCCCTCATGTTCCACTTCTTGATTAGAGTTTGAACACTGCTGATTGGCATTCTCAATTCCTTGGATATCCTTTTTATATCCCTTTCCTGTTCTATACAGTTCAACTACCTTTTCCCGCAGGTCCTTTGACAATTCTTTTGCTTCCCCATGTGAAAAGAGTAAACACAGTTGAATGATAATAAATGGTTTCAGCCAAACACTACCCATGAGTGACAGAAAGGTTTTCGTGTTATCGTTCATATTCTCTGAAAAATGGCCAGGAAATCATAAATTCTGCCAGGATATGTAAACTTATGAGCACACGTGTAATTATACAATGTATTATTGAACAATGGATTATTTCCATCTTTCAATTACCCTACCTATATACCTAAGAAGGAAGGTGAACTGTTCCTAGTAAAGCTCTTAAAGTGACATTAAACCCTCAGATTTTTTAACATAAACCAATACTGTAATGTGCGCCTTACTGTTATCCATGGTAGTTTCCCGTCTCTTTGCTGCTCTTCCGTTTATATCCTCATGTCTTTTCATGCTTGGGGAGAACTTCCTTTTTCAGCTCAGTGCCTCTTCCTGTAGTGCTGGCTCAGGTTACAAGCTTATACAAACCTATACACAGACACCGTGTATCCATTCCTGAGACAAGGCAGTCTGCTGCAAAACAGAAGTTCTGCAGAGCATGAGAACAGATACAGATTTAAAAGGAAGAGCAGCAAAGAGAAGGGAAACAACCATAGATTACAGTAAGGCACACATTACAGTATTGTTTTATGTTAAACAATCTGAGGGTTTAATGTCACTTTAAGTTTAGAAAAAAGGACACAACTATAGGACTCTGTTATGTGATCATGTTGTAAACGCTCAGGTGCTGAGAGACAGTGTGTGAGGTCAGGCATATGTCAAACTTCTCCTGACTTTGACCCTTTCATCTCATTCTCAAGAGTCTCAGTTAAGTAGTAGCAAAGCTAAATTAGGACCAAATATAAATCTGTTGTAAATAAACCTACACAGTTTGAGATGCTACATTCAAGTTCATGCATAAGCTGTCATGACTGGTTCTTTTTAATGAGAATATGTTTTTGTTTTTTTTCAATGTAACTATGAAACTAAATGTTTAAAAGATTTAGGCATCTTATATAGATGCCTATGAAGAAGCTTCTGTTGGGACATTTATGAGCAGAAATAGGTCCTGAGGTAGACCCAGAACATGCCATCTCTTATTTGACCTGGGCAACGCTTGTAATTCTTTAGAAAGAGCTTGAATTCATGACCTGGTAAACGGAAAAACTTTACTGAATCGTGATTCAGGTATGCAGAAAGACCGCTCATGGCCTGTTTGAAAAAACTTTCAGGGTTATTCACAAAAGGGTGAAGGGTCTGGAGAAGGCAGGAGAAGTGAACAATCTAGGGCAACATAGCTGAACTGGAAAGTGAGCTGAATTGGAGAATGTTTCCAAATCAGCTATTTTGTCCTAGATTGTTCACCTCTCCTGCCTTCTCCAAACTCTTCACCTTTTTGTGAAAAACCCTGTTTGTTTTGCCAGAGTGGGGAAGAGTTAGAATTTCTGTTAAATTCTTATAGCTACCTGTTTCTCAATTATGAAGACATCACCTTCCTAATGGTGATTTCCTTCCAAGTCTGGTCTGGCCTTCTGTCCCAATGACCCTCTTATAAGGATAAGCTGACTAAACCTGATAATATTCATATTTATTTTTGAATATATGTCTCTCTCAGCAAGTCTTATTCCACCAGCATAAGAATTAATTAGATGCTCGTTGCTGGCCGCACTAGTCGAGGAAAGTATAGTTTTGTCTTGCATTATTTTGGCATCAGTGCACTGACCTACTTTTAACTTTCATTTTCTATCCCTCACAAGTTTTGGGAGAAAAGCCTAATCCAGATTAGTTTGTCAGGTTTGAAGCCATGTCTGCTCATTCTCCAGCATATGTATTACTCAGGATTCATGCCGTATAAATTCCACATGCTTCAGAAATGTACATGAGGAGAGTTTAATTAACATAGAAAAGATGCAATTTTCAATGGCATAGAACCAAGGAAACAATCACAACAGTCACCAAGATTTCATTCAGAAATGTATTGAGCCTGTTGTTCCTTGCTCCAGGAAGTCCTAGCCTACTTGATGTTGGCACTTGGCGTTTTCCTTTCTCATTTGCAAGGGCTACCGTTCATAGTCACCTGTAGTCTTAGAAGTAAGTCTCCAGAGAGTACAATTCATAGAACCACATGATCATCCTTTTGGTTAGAGTTGATAGTGGGTTGGAGGCTCCCACTAGCAAAGAATCAAAGGTATCAATTGTCTCTTGTAGCCAGTGGTATAGTAGTGTGTTCCTATACACCACAGCATCCTGGATTGCTCCCCCAGTTTAAAAAAATTGCTGAAGATTACTTCTTCCAACAACTAAAATACTGTTAAAGGGACTATATCAATAGAGAATGTCTGGCTTTATGAATTCCTAGTCAATGACCTGGAACGTGCATACTTACATGACTGTCAACATTCCATATATCAATTGTTTCAAGACAGTCACTCTGAGTATTGAAGGCAATGCGTTAACATAACAGCCAGGCAACTAGCAGTTTCAGAAGAAAAGCTGCAATGACAGCCCCCATAATTCTCTCATCACAGAGTCCCTTTAAAATGTCGCCACCTAAGACTAACCATTTTACCATTTTAATTATTAATCCTTATGATAATGTTTGTCTCTTGAGCAATCTGTCTCTGCTTTTGAATTTATTTTTTTGTTCAGCTGTTGTGGGCATCGTGTGGGGCTCCCTCTCTACACTTTGGAGTCTTTATTTTTGGCGAATATAACAGTAAGAGTTGGAACATGCAAATTTGGGTGGGAACTCCCAGAATCCCTAGGTAAAGGGATGTGAATTATGCAGGAGTCGAATATAAGGAGCCATTGGCTGATGTAGCCCACCAGGTCCCACCTATAACTAAATATCACTTTTTTGGGTGGGCTGACCCTTTAACCAATAAGTCTTATATAGGAATCTTCCATAGTGAGGCTATATTATCACTAAATTTATCAGACTGGCCAGAATTAATTACAGCTTAGAAGAATATAAGATATGTACATTTTTAGGAGTAGGATGGACTGAAAATTCGAAAGGGAACTGTTAAACGGAACAACTGTATTTGCTTCTGAGATATGCATACTGTATTTCAGGTGTAGCAGTACAGCGCAGTAAGGGTTTATTCATACCACACCACTTGAACTTTGTTGATCTGTGCGCAACGCCAACATCAATGTCTGATATACATATAACTTTAAGGCAGCATATCTACAGATCAGTTCCCAGCTGCTTTGCAGTGTCAATAGAAGCAGTTCTTCTGTATTTTTAACTTGGGATTGCATACAACAATGCCTCAAAAGTGGAGTTTTCACTTTTACATTAGGCAATTACTTTGGTTTGTGTTGGTTTTCTGTTGGTTGGCTGTAATGCCCATTGCAACTAATCAGAGGTTCCCTTGCTTGGATATGTCTGTGATGGTTCTCATTCATCCAGGTCATGGCATATCTGTAAAAAATGAGTCAAGGCAACTGGACTTGCTGTATTTTTCTTGAAGACGTTTCACTGGTCATCCAACCAGATTTCTCAATTCAGAGTGATGACCAGTGAAACGTCTTCAAGAAAAAAATCAGGGCAGAGTCATGAATGGGGTTTACCTGCTGCCTAGATTATTGCGTTTTATAAAATAAGCTGTTCGTAGGTCTGTCTAGCAGGGTTTTAAGCTCTAACTGCACCCTTTCCTCCATCTGGGGAAACATTTAAGTTATCTCTGAGATGAGGAGTGGTGTGGTGCAGTAGATAGAGAGAGACTGCATTCAGGCTGTGCTGGAACAGTCTGTAGGTCTACGCAGACCCGGAATGTCTCAGAGCTAGCCAGGAGACTGAATTATTACACTAACAGCAATTAACTAATATATTAATTAATGAAAAGTATAGTAGTTCCCATTTAAATTTCATTTTGTTTTCTCTCTTTCTTCAGGAAAAAGTAGAGTATGCCTTTCTCATCATTTTTACAATTGAAACCTTTTTGAAGATTATAGCATATGGATTAGTCATGCATCCCAATGCATATGTAAGGAACGGGTGGAACTTGCTGGATTTTGTTATAGTAATTGTAGGGTAAGTATTCTTAATTGTGATTTATCATCTTTACTAGGGATAGGGTTTTACTCCTATTTTGTGGCCATGTTTTTTTCCCACCCTAGAATTACTCTATGAACAATAAACAGCCATATAACACATGTACCTTTTAGTGGATAGCACCATGCTTGACTTCTATCCGCACTCCGGATGTCCAATAACCATGCTATCTATATCCAGTGACTGGAGAACGCATCCTCTGTGACCTGATGATGTTAAAGACATAGACCGCATGAGGAGGGCTAAGCAACACCATGAGTTGCATGGTGTTTCTGGTAGATGGCAAGCCATTTCAACTACTGATTGATGGACAACTGGAACATAGACAGAAGTCAAACATGGTGGTGCTGTACATTTATTAAGGTGCATGTGTTATATTGCGGTTTATAGTTCATAGAGTAATTCTAGGGTGAACTTCCACTTTAATGATGTCTTGTTTGCAATATACTTTCAAGGTAAATGCCACTGAGGTGCGTATATTACCATATTACTCATATTATCATAGTGCTTTTTTTGTTGTAAATTTCATTAATTTTATTCTATTATATCTTTATGCAGCTAAAAATCTTTACAAAATTGTTTGAAACAAAAACTTTAACACAAACACTGCAGACACACCAACAGTCTCAAGTGGGATACCAGCATATATTTTTGGAATGGAGGCTATAATTAAAGAATGGGAAACCATGACCAGCTTTATCCTCCAGTGACTTCTAACTTAGAAATCAGGATGTCCCATCTAGTGCATTCCCTCCCAGCTCGCATCCCAGAGCATGGCACAGTTGATCACGATTTACCCATCAGTGGAGTGCAAAATAGCAGCATACCACAGTGCTTGTTAACATACAGGCAGTATAAGAGAAAAGTCACTCAACGCATAAAACTGTCAGAGTTACCGCATGGTTTGCATTATACTGCCAGTTTGAATGTAATGCCATTCAGGTTTGTTCAGATGTCACAGTAATTGGAGTGTTTGCTGTATACAGTCAATTTAACACAACACAGTTCAATATTATAAAATAGAAGTAATGAAGTAAAGAGATGTTGGTAACAATTGCACTGTTTGCTTATTCTTGTTAACAAAAGAATCCCTACATCTGTTATATAAAATATAATAATAAAATATATTACCTTACCATATGATCCTTGCTTTTTTGGTAAAGAGGACCTAAAGCAACCTAATCTTCCCATTCATCAATAGCTACCCTTGCAGTGGGCCCACCCCCACCTATCCCTGCACTGGAAGGGTTAAATTCCCATTTTTGCCTACGGTACCAGGAAAAAGGACTTTTACTTGCCTTCTGCCTCATTCTCCTGGCAGATGGTGTCATTCACTTTCATCTGATGCTCTATGTTGTGGGCTGGCCCTTGGAGTCATCACTGACAGTGCAGGACTGCTGCAGACCTGCATTGGATGTGATGACATCAGAGTGTGATCGACAGATGGCACACCGCAGAGAGGCGACTTCAGAGGACAGGTTGCATGGAGAAGAGGAGCCTGTGGGATAAGATAAGTAAAAGGGCTTTTTTATGGTACCCTAGGCAAAAATGAGCATTTAACCCTAGCAATAAAGGGGAAGACCAACTGCAGTGGTAGTTTTTTTAAATTTTTACCGAGTTTAGTTTTAAGGAGCCTCTGACATTCTTACCTGCATTGGAGAAAACAGGACTCTGAGAATTCACGATGGTCACTCACATGATCAAATGTCCCACCTAGCCACATGTTCTCTGCTGAAGGGAAAGATCATAGTGCAACAACGATCATGTGACCAACTCCCATAGGATCACATATCACTTACTGCAAGGCAGGTAAGTATTTCAGTTTCCTTTCAGTATATGCAGTGAACAGGAAGGTTGGGTGTGTTATTTCACTTTAGGTTCCCTTTAATGTAGTTTTCTACAAATTAACTTGTCTGGATTGTGTTCTCCTTCTGTTTTAATACTGCAACTAATTGCCATTTCTTTTGTGTGTTCTAGATTGTTTAGTGTAGCTTTGGAACAACTCAACTTTGGAACCAAAGAAACCGACGGAGCTGGCCAAGCAACCGGAAAATCCGGAGGTTTTGATGTGAAAGCTCTAAGAGCTTTTCGTGTGTTACGTCCCCTTCGATTAGTGTCTGGAGTGCCCAGTAAGTCTGAGTAGCACATACAAACGATTGTAGTCCTTCTAACTACCGAGGAAGAACAAGTCTCAATATTATATGCTAGCTATAGTTGGCAGGACATTCTATCGCTTGCAAGTTATCACCTGCTAGGGCACTGCTAACTGGCCAGGCTGGTAGTAAACTTGTATGTCTGAGGTGAATGTACTTGGACAATCATCATTACTAATTTTAAGAGGAAAAAATGAAAGCAATCAGGTGAAATGGCCAGAGTTAATTGCCTGGTCTGGATTACACACATTATTGAAATCAGTGAACATGTAGAATGCTCTAATTGCAATTAGTGCTAAATTAAAATGCTAAAAATCTGGGCATTTTGTTTTTCTCCTTTGAAATTTAGGACTGACTTTCCTTTAAGTTTATAACAAGGCCCTTACATTAAATTATTATTATATATGATTATTATTAGTAGTAGTCGTTGTATTATGTTGTTATTATTATTATTGCAATGTTTTTGGGTTTTGCCGATGAAGTCAGATTTGATACTTTAGAGGAGAAAAGGTTTTAGAGGCGCTGGAAATTTTCACTATTATTATGACAAACTGGGTTTCTAGAGGCTTGTGAAGAGCTCACTGGCTCCTTTTAGGCATCCCCAAAACACCAGGTTCCCCACATAGGATACCCTGAAAGACTTGAAAAGGGATCCAACTGATGGGCACCAAACCAATCAAGTATCAGAGTTCATAAAAGGTTTAATGTTTTAAATTCAATCAAATCAATAAAACATCCAATGTGTTTCAGGGGCAAACACATCCCCCCTTCTTCGGCAGCTAAATGCACCATTAAAATATATAAAAGGGTGCTGCTTTACCTGCCAAAGGATTTGGATTTCTGTCTACGCAGTCTTGAGATTTTCACATCCCTTCCATACAACATAGCCAGGTTGGTATCCTGACGTTTGCAGTTGAAGCGGAACTGTCGGATTTACTGACCTCCACTATAATGCAGCTACGAGCTCCCTCAATAGCAGTAACATCTTTATGGCATCTTGGTTAGATAGCTCAGGATGACCTAACTCCCACACGTACACATGGGGGTTAAAGAAGTAAAGAATGCCGAGATTATATGCTGAGCTGCGCCTGCATGGCTTAGTTTACAATCTTTTGGAACTTATTAGGCAGTTAAGACACTTTTTACAGGGTCTCTTCTGCAATAAAGGACTTCCTACTAGCATTGTTTTAAACTAAAGTTTAACTTTAAGCAATACAGATAGGTCACCTCCTATCCCTCAGCTTGTGATTGGACAGTAAAGGAGTGGTAACAGACTGATAAGATCATGTTTCTACCCCTTCTTCTGTCCACAATACTTGTTTGCACATGTGCATGCAGAATAAAGGATTGTACCTAGTACTGTTCTTTCCTGATCCAGCCTGAACATTGCTGTACAAGGGATTACATGAATCTGATATCAAGTTAAATTCAGGTATTCACAGTAGATCCATGTAAAATACATGTCATGATTTTTAATACATGCATAACTGCATTTTATCTGTCTGAAGTTTGGCTTTAAAGCGAAACTAAACTCTGCCTCCTTCCAGGTTCAGGATCTTCGGCCACCTTGATTGGCCAGACCGGAATGACATAACTCACGTGTGTGCGCATAGGCGTTCATTCATTCTTGCACTCTAAACTATGGAAAAATTCCCTAGCAAAGTGGAACTTCCCTTGCAAAGTGAACAGCCTATTTGCCTTCAGTAAATGAACCCCAGTGTGTCAGTACTGTCCACCTTTGCTTCTGTTGGCCAGTTGATCTCTCCCAAGATCAGGGTCTTTTCTAGTGATTCCTACTTCCATATTATGTATCCAAGATATGTATGATTTAGTTTTAGTGTTCAGTGAGCAATCTAATTTTGTTTTCTAGTGTAATCTCTTATTTGTCCTTCAAGGAATTTTCAACACATTTTCCAAGTGTCAGTTTCCCAGCACTCCTGTAAATGATCCTGTAAATGATCCAGTACCCGCTTTAAATTCTGGGAAGATCGTAGATTTGACCATTAAACTTTCATTGACAGTAGAATATTTATGCTTCATTATATATTTTTTAGTAAATAAATTATATTTTTTTCATAGTCAAAGCATAATCCAGCGAAAATTTGTAGATGATGACTTTTCTCTTTTCTTTATTTCTCTAGGTTTACAAGTTGTCCTGAACTCCATAATAAAAGCCATGGTTCCTCTGCTGCACATTGCTCTCCTGGTCTTATTTGTTATAATTATTTATGCTATTATTGGTCTAGAGCTTTTTGTGGGAAAAATGCACAAATCCTGTTTTGTCCTTGGCACTGGTAGGTAACATAACATATGTTCTATCTTTACTGTTCAAATAGTCACATAAGATGCTATGAATTATACTAGATCTCTATCAAAATGGAAGGATGAAAAGTTCCCACAATAGCCAATTGTATTTCACAACTCATTTTTCTGGGTCTGGGGAATAATTAAGAGAAAATAAGTATTTTGACTGGTTGCTGGGGGGAGGGGGGGAGGCTGCATGAGCAAACCACAGGTTTGCTTTAATGGCTATCTAAACCCAATAACAAAAATGTTATATGTAGAGGCTTACTATTTCTTAGATGTGGTGGCAGCATTCATTTTCATTTTTCAGCCTAGGAACCTTTTTAGCAAGCTGAAATGCACCTGTAGTAGGCTGATCCGAAGTGGATCTTAGGCTGAAGATAAGGCGAAGACGTGGTCAGGCAGGCAGGGTCGGCAACAGTGTGGCAGCGAGGTACAAAGTCGGGATCCAGGAGAGTAGTCAGGAAGCAGGCTGAGGTCTTGACACGATCGGGCAGCAAGGTACAAAATCGGCAGGCAGAAGAATAGTCAGGATTCAGGCAAGAGTCACAGTATAAATCCAGCATAGAACACAGCGGCAGCTCACACAGGAAACTAACCCAAATCAACGGGCTCAGAGCACAGGAAGTGTGCGGTATTTAAAGCCTGAGTTAATTGCAGATCTTCTACAGCTGGTTGGCAGGTGTAGCTAAAGTGTCCATAAGGAGAGTTGCTGAGTACAAAAAACCTGCAGCAGAAACCAAGTCCATCCAGTAGCTGAATGGCTAGGTCTTTGCACTTCTGCACCAGAGACCCAGGTTCAAACCCTGAACAGGGGCTGATCAGACAGGTACGTGACACAAGCACAGAACACACCTGTTGATCTGTTCCTTGTCACTTCCTGTGAGCGGAACTGAAAAAACTGGAGCAGGCAGAATCTGGAGCAGCTGTGCAATGCAGCCAATCAGTTTCTCTCTTTTATTTTCAAATCTTAATTGAACAAACTGAAGATAGAAGCTGATTGGTTGCCATGGGCAACTGCTCCAGATTTTGTCTGCTCCAGTTTTGACAAATTCCCCCCAAACTATGTTATCTTCCTTCTGTAAATTACTAATCCCCTTCCCCCATATAATGAAGCTGAAGAGAGGAAAACATATTTGATGTCCAGCCTGGGGGGATTACTACAGCCAGGGCCGCCGTCAGGGGGGTACGGCCGACACTCAAGTAAGGGGCCCGCCCAGCCTCATGGGCCCGCGAACCTTACCTGGGTGACGGTCGTACAGGTGACTGAAGGCGGCCGCGAGTAGCGGCGGCCATCTTTAAACCTGGGCAGTGCCCACATCCCATTTAATATATTGCCGAAACGGCAATATATTAAATGAAAATCATGGTGGGGAATCAGTATGATCTGCATCTCTTGCTGATGCAGACCATACTGATCGCTCCCTCGTGGTGTCTCTGCTAACATGCAGGGAGTGATTAGTATGTCTGCACCAGCCAGAGTGCAGAGCACACTGATTCTTCACTGAAGCCCAGGTAAGCAGGAGAGGGGGACATTTTCCATTAACTATTATTAGTTGTGAGAGTGTGTCTTATTGTGTTTTTTAATGAGGGTGTGTAATTTGTTTTTTTTTTATGAAGTTATGTGTGTGTTTTTTAATGAGTGTGTGATATGTGTGGGGCATGTGTGTGATATGTGTGTTTCATTATGTGTGTGTGTGTGTTTTTTTTAACCATGATTGCTGTTTAAATACAAGCGATCCGGCGTCTGTATAGACGCCGGATCGCTTGTACAATACGGCGCCGTGTCCCCCTCTGCAGTCGCCGGTACTGGCGTCAGCTTCCCGGGCTCATCTGTCCCTCGTGTGAGCCCGGGGCCGGTGTGTAGGGTCTCCCCTGACAAATCGAAGGAGAGATCAGCAGCTTCTAGCCGCGGACCTTTCCTCCGATCGCTGGACCCGGAAATGATGAGCATTTCATCACTTCTGGTGTCACTGGGCACAGTCTCCGGCTCCTAGAGCCAGAAGAAGAAGCTGGTGAAGCAGATCTCATCAGCTTCTTTGGGGTCCCTAGGTGACACTAGGGGTCTGCAAGACCCCTGATGTTTCCATAAAGAGGACCTGTCACATTATATTTGCTATTACATAGGGGACTTGTTAGCCCCCTATGTGATAGCAAAAAAGCTGAGTGTGAAAAAAAATTGTAAAAATTAAAGTAACAATAAAAAAATTATTTTATTTTTTTTAACCACTTGAAGTCCGCAGTGTTACACGCCCTTCCTGTCCCCGCCATTTTTCAGTATTTAGCGCTGCAGTACTTTGAATGACATTTATTCCGTCACGCAACGCTGTACTGAAACTAATTTCGTACCATTTTTTGGGGGACTTATAGAGCTTTCGTTTGGTGGTGTTTAATATTACCGAAATTTAAAAAACAAACAAACTGTTCCCCTATAATAAATTATAAAACATTATTACCCAATTTTTTGGTAAAATATAAAAGGCGGGGTCATGTCGGGTAAAAAGAAAGCAAACATGTTAAGCCTTAAAATTGCACATGTGCGCGAAACCTAAAAAAACTACTATATCAAAAATTTTAGAGTGTAAGCTCCTCTGTGCAGAGACTAATGTGACTGGCTCAGTGTGGCGGCGGGG